AATTATTTTATTTCAAGATGGGTTTCTTCGTTTAACTTTGGCTTTCCTTGACTCACTTTGTAGACCGGGATGGCCTCTCAAACTTACAGAGATATACCTGCCTCTGCCTCCCCAAATTCTAGAGTTAAAAGCATGCTAATCTAAAAAAAAAAAATAGCTTTCTTGTGATTGGAAACAAGATAAGGATGACCACTCTTTCCATATTTATAAGCTGTTGCAGAACAGGTGAACATAAGTTATATTGATATATATTACAGATGTAGCAAAAAATGAAATTCACTATATAATCATTTGATGCCATACAGGCTATTGGGAATAGATGCTGAATCCCATGAATTCTCCAGGGATCAGGATGTTGGTGCTATATAGAATTGTTCTCTGTGACTATATATATATATATATATATATATATATATATATATATATATCAACCTAGCTTGGCATTGTCTCTGATTATTTATTTCCTCAATTTTTAGGGCTTACTCTGAAGAGAATTTAAAGATATGACTAAAGTCCTTCATCAGTTGACTTCAAGTACAGATTATTCTTTTCAGTCTGGATGGGTTTTTGAAGATGTCACTGAGAGATAGGATACGGTAAGAAGAGAAAACCTTCCATCTGTGGACAATAGCATGAGGCCATGTAGTGACCATGCCTGTCCACATTTTGGACTTGCTTAGCCAGCTCCCCCAATCTGAAATACATACAGGTCGAGGATCTTCCTGCAGATAGCTTTTTAAGACTATGAAGCATTTGAATGGTGAGGGAAAGGCTGGAAAATTTATTGTGGATTGAAAGATATCAATGAAACATGACAATGGAATGCAGCATAAATCCAGGGTAGCATCCTAGATGGAATAGGGTTGTGACATTTAGAAGAATTCAACAGAGTGTGCAAATTTAAGGGCAGTGCTGTGCTGATGCTGCTTTTCAGAGTGATAGAGTCATAGGGTTTTAGTTTAAGAGAGTGTCTCCTGAGAGTTTCACTGGAGGCTTCCAGAAGGACTGGGTATCATGTCAGAAAAGTTTATTCAAAACAACACACACACACACACACACACAAACCCATACAAAGAGAGGGGGTAATGTCATACAATTAAAGAATTCAGATGAAAAATTTTGTGCAATCCCTCTTTAGTTTTGAAATTGTTTCAAAATAGTAATTTGAACAAAGAGCCACCATTTAGAAAATGAGAGCTTTGCCTAAGTATTAGAGTGTAAGCCAGAGAACACTGAGTTTGAAACGGGTTTGAAGTACATAATGAGATTTTGTTTTAAAAAACACATGGAAAACCTAGTAATGAAACAACACTGTTTACTCATGCCATGGCCTACCTCCTCTCACATTTTAGACATAAAATGATTTTATCTTCAATTTACACATGTTCATGTCCTCATTTTTACTTTCCTGTTACCAGAAATCAGTAGGATAGAGGTGTCTGCTTCCCTGTCTGCTCTTCCCATCCTCTATCCTTCCCCTTCCTTTCTCTTCCTCCCTTCCTTCCATTGTACCTCCCCCACCCCTCTGTCTGAGACAGGATCTCTCTGTGTATCCCTGGATGCCTGGAAACTTGCTATGTAGACCAGGTTCACTTCAAATTCAGAAACCTCCCTGCCTCTGCCTCCTGAATGCTGGAACTAAATGCATGTACCACCACACCTGGCATCTACATATTATATATATTTGGTATCCACCTGTATATCTTCTCTAACACTCATATGAGTTAAAATTTGAACTTAATTTCAATTTCATTTGTTATAAAATATATGATGCAAGAAGCCAACATCATTTTTTCTAAAGTAGTTAAGACAAAGCATCTATTCACTGGTGTACATTAGAATTTTCTTTTTAAAATTAAAATTAAGGCATTATATATCAGCCTGTGAAACTGTGTAATGTAAATTGTTACTGATTAATTTAATAATAGAATGAGAAAATAAACATCATGAAATGATTAGTCACCCAAAGCAGACCTTAGATCTGAACAAGACTAGGGACCTCTGCTATGGGGAGTAAAACCATTGCTGCAGGATAGGTGTGCAGAGGAAGTGGACAGAGAAGAGGAAGCTGACTTTCTAAATCCTTCCTTCTAGACGTTCTTCAATGTCACACTCTGCTATTCGGTGTTAACAGAGCATGGACTCTGAAGCCTCTCAGACTAGTGTGCAGTGACTCTTTGTGTTCCCAGCTTCATGATCTTGTGGAGCTACTGAAGCTCCCGAGGCCCTGGTGTATCTATGAAGGACTATGGCAGGCATCACATCTTTCCTTTGAGGGCTGTCATGAGACTGTAGGAGTCTCCACAGTGACAGATCATGCAGAGTGAGTGTAAATTTGTTAATGCGAAGCTGGAAATGTGCCTCCAATTCTACCATTTCTGTGCCAGGGCACCAGCCAGCTTCAAGGGCACTTTTGTTCTAAACTTTTCTTATTGGGGAATTCTCTTTGCCCCGGCTTTTGGCACAGCTAGCAGAGGCTTCTCCTCTCAACCCGGGACCAGCTTCCTTTTGTCATCCTCACATGATCTCTACCCTGTCTCGTTGCAATTTATCTTCCACCACAAAGGGATGTTTTTTACTGAAGTCTGAGAGCATCATTACCACGAGTGATGTTCGAAAAGGCAGGATGTTGGCTCCGTCGTGGGAATTCAATGTTTGCGAGCTTGTCAATCAGTTCCTCTATGTTACGCTTTTCAAATGCCTCAACAGTTTTGGCCAATGACTGTTTTGTACGTAAACCTTTTTTGGTCCTTTTCTTCTTCTTCTTCCCTATTTTCTGTCTTCACGAGCAACTACTCTCCTGATGGGTTTTAAGCTAAAAAATGAAGGGTGCTCGCAAAATAACTGCTAAGTAACAGTCCTGCTCTAGAAGTGCCCCTTCAAGTCATTGTGACATTTTTTTTTTCTGCAAAGCAGCATTGTGGTATAGGCACAATAAGTGGGTGGAGTGTGTGATTTGAGTAGCTACTCTACCAATGACCAACAACAGGATCCTGGGCCCAATCTCTTCAGCTATGGCATCATTTAATGTGCCTTATTCATTTCTATCACAGGGAGTTTGTCCCTGCCATAACTTTCTGAGAAACTCTTCCCAGATGAAATAATTTTGGGTTGTCTTTGGCTTTGATTAAAATCTTCCCACAATAGTCATTGTCAGACACTGGACAAACCAAAGTTTTTTCCTTTACTGAGCACAGTTTAACAAGCTTCCACCTTCTTCATTGCCTTATTTATTTATTGTTCAACACTGCAGAAGTGACATATCATCCTCTAATAAAAGGTGATTAGCCTTTCTTACCACTTACTTGATGCCGCTTACTTGAGTGGCATCTGTCATGTAGTAATACAAAGTTCTTGGAGTTTATGGAGATGGGGGAAAAATGTCCTTCATCAGTCACCAGAGCTGTTGTAGCTCATGAGATTCCTCTGCTTGGTGTCAGGGGATGCAGTGAGACAGTAGAAAAGGGTCCAAGCTTTGCTTGCCTGGCTCTGGCTCTGGCTTTGCAAAGAACCAAGATTCTCCAGGTCTCAGTTTCCAAGAAGTAGTAGTATCCGGGATGTGACGTTTGTGTGAGAACCAAGAAAATGTGTGTTTAATACTTAGAGTTTGAGCTGGATGTGGTGGCATCTGCTTGTAGTCATTACTGACTGAGAGGTTTAGGCAGGTGGATCACTGAACCAAGGATTTTTAGACCAGTCTGGGTTATACAGGGAGACCCATTCCAAAATATAAGGAACAAAATGAAAAGTAGTTCAACACATAAAGCAAGCGTACAGTGAGTGTTGGAGGGAAAAAAACAGAAAATTATTTTTATTACATGAGGAATATTTTAATTGTGAATGAGAGAAACACTTGAGTTCTTTAAGGAAGAAAGAAGAACTGAATAGTTATAAGCAAAGTTTTACAGACACTAGCAGAAACACATGTGGCTTCATGCAGGAGCTAGAATCAGGAGCTATGAAGCTATTGGGAAATACTCTAACTCGCTCCTACATCTACCTTTTGTGTTTAGAGTAGGTTTCTCTTTTCCTAAGTTCGGTATGGTTCCAAGTTTATATACATTACAGATTCTGCCACTTTTAATGAATAAAACCAACGATCCTTTTCTCAATTGTGAATTTTAGGAGGTGATAGTCTAACCTGCTCCATTAAGTCTGATGACCAGTCAATCAGACAAGCACATGAGGGGTGACAGCAGCTGGCAGCCACTACTCTAGTATGCTTTAAGTATAGTACATGTTCTCAGAAAAGGATTCTGTGAGTTCATTTTCTGGGCAGACATTCCATGATACATCCAGTGCACCTCCATGATGAGTTCCCGGCACAGCTGTCAATCCTGGAAACAGTAGAGCAATACTAGGCCTTCAGCAGAAGTAGGATGATGTTCTGGGCTTTCAATCTTGGACAAGCCAAAATGCGCTACTTATGCTTAGGAGTCGCAGGAGTCAAAGTGACTTCTTCCTGAGAATGGTCATTATGACACAGACCTCTCTTGTCAATGCCTTCATCTTGTCCTGTGCACCAAAAGTCCAACCACTCACAGCCCCAGTCATCATGCTAATGTACATAGGAAGGCAGAACACTGTAGGGTGGTTGGCCCCATTACTTTCTCTCACAGTCTTTCCATCTTTCTCTTGAGGCAGATGGTGTTTCCACATTGAGAAAACATTTTCATCAAATCGCACATTACCCTCCAAACCCAGAGAATTCATGTTTTGACTGTTGGTTTCATTTTAGTACTTTAGGTAGATTCAAGATGAACTGAGCAAGGAGCCAAGGAGACTGTTCAGAGCCCTGGGAAGGCTAACAGACCTGACAGGGACAAGTTTATGCCTAGTTTCTTCATAATAGGCCATTTTGAGGAGAAGGTCCATTTGGGAGTTGTGCTGGCATGAGATCTATTTCGGCAGTGCCAGAAGGCATTTTGATTATTCTCTTGGCACAGGTGACATGAAATCCACTGCCTCAGAGCTATTCTTGCAGCTCCTACTCCCAGTGTTTAAGGAACATTTATTTGCTGAAGATCTGAAACAGAGGCCATGCAACCTGGGAAACACAACACAAAGTGATGAGTAAGGACCCTCACAAGCAGACAGGCTTCTGCTAGAAGAAAGTATGAATGTGTGGCCTTGATTGGGGGTTATATCAGAGAATAATTCTATATTCAGGGTTTAAGAAGATATATCAATACAAATCCTCACACATTTTCCTGTCTTCCTATTTTGCCTCAAAGCCAGCTGGATTCAGAATATAAAAAGTAATTTCTTTTCCATCTAAGTCATTAAAACATACTTACTGAGTAACTACTATGTAAAAATAAATAAATATCCAGGTCCAAATATGCTCCAATTAAAAAAAAAACTAATTTGAGAGCACAGTTGGATCTTCCTGTTAGATCTCCCCTGAGAGGGGTAAGTGAGACATGGGATAACGGCCCCATAGAGACAGAGATGCTAAAAATGAAGGTCAGCACAATTTCTGCAGACTGCTCTACACCTCAAAGACTTAGCAGACCTGGACCCTGCTTCCAGGTATGCTTGGTTTGTCCTAAAAGCATACTACCCCTGGCATGGAAGCTGAGGGTTTGAAAAGCTCAGTGACCCTTCTTTAAGAGTCAAAAACAGTGGGGTGAAGGGGGAAGAGTCTCCCTTGGCAGTGGATACAGGCATGTCAAGGCATGTCAAGGTACAGTTCCTAGCTCCTACCCCTCAGGTCTGTGGTACTTGGTTTTTAAATGACTGGCTGGGATAGAGACCTCAATAAATAAAAATTTCAGTAGAGTAAAAAAAAAAAAAAAAAAAAAAAAGGTTGTGCAGCACCGCGTCGGCCCTTTGAGTTGATGGAGGGATGCTTGCAAACTCTTGGTATGGCCCCAGTGTTACATACTTGAACTGTTCACTTTTAGGGCATTCTTCAAAATAGAGGTCAGAGGGAACTGGCCCTGGTTGCAGAAAAAGCCAGTGAAGTCATCCATGTCTAGGGTCCATAGCATGGCACCTCCCAGGTTGTTCTGCTTAAGCCATTCAGCCTGTTGAGGGGTGGAGGATAACAGGAGTCATTTGATTTCTGAAAACTCGGAGTAGAGGCCTCAGAACATCCAAAGGACTGACTGTACCTTGATATGAAAGCTCTTGACATTATCATAGCCAACCCATTTGTTGCCTTGATAGGCATAGGGTACTTCCTGAGCAGCATCCCAGGCCTCAGTGGCTCCATCATTCAGGAAGGTACAAATCTTTAAAATCAAGAGATTTTATTTAGTATTCATCTAAATTATTTATTTAGTATTCATCTAAATACTATGTCACACAAAAGACAAAGATGCATATTTTTTTCCCTTAATGTTTGTGTCTGGGGGGGGGGGCGGTTTCTCACTTTTCTAGTAGTTTTTATTTGGAGTTAAGATGTTTGAGATATTATTCTTTTTGTGATGCTGGGAATGAAACTCAAGGTAGTGCTTATTCTACATAAACACTCTGCAACTGAGCCTTATCCCTAGCCCATGTTATTATTTGATATATATATATATATATATATATATATATATATATAT